CTGGGCTCCAAAGCCTAATGGCTGAAGCTTCTGGAATGCCCTAGGCAGTGCTGAATCAGATGCTTTTCAGCTTCAGTGATTCACAAATTCCAATATGCAGAACATTCTCAAGTTGGCTATTTTTTGGAGTCCCTTTTCTCCAGCTGCCTCCAAAATGAACCACTCCCCACCCTTAGTTTTGCTGACAGTGAGGTGTTCCTCTAGAAGTCCAATTTGGGTCCATACCTTTTGTCATCAACCTGCTCTAGGCTTTGAAGACATGGTGATGCCCTGATTTCTGTGTAATGGAAGTTGCTGTTGCGGTACCTGACCCCTGGCAGGTCCGTGCAGCCCAGCCTGGCATCCTGTGTTTCCACATGGCTCTAAGCAGGTTGCTTTGAGCTCCTAGTCCCTTCAAAGGGTCCCCTGAGGTGCAACAGCACAGGAAACAGCTTGTGAAGCCCTGCTGGAATGTGTGTGTGCATAGCTTTGGACAGGAGGTACCCCGCCGTGGAAGGCTTGCTATCCCTTCTACTGAGTTCTAAGCCACTGCATGTGTCAGGATGGAACAAAGACTAAGTCCTCCATCCCATTCCACTGTAGAGGAGTTAAGAAACCAAATCATTCTATTAATTCCATCTGTTGAGACTGGATCTTTGAGAACTTGACACCAGTGGGGTATTAGGAGCTGTCTTCTCTATGTATGTGTGCAGAATGCATTGACTTGGACAGTGGTCTTTGTACCAGATGATCTCTGTTCAGCTCTTGCAGGAAAATGCTATTTACACGAACAGGGATGGCGACAGGCTGGGGCTTATGATCAAAGAGAATGAGTCGCAGAAGGATCATCCCAGATGCCCAATAGAGCTACTAAGAGCTTGGGCTTGGAAGTCAGTCACCCAGGCCCATAGATGAATCCAGCCCCACATTTAACTGTTGGGTGACTTGGGTGAGTTACCGCCCTTTTCCAAAACTGTCTCCTCGTCTGTAAATGGATATAAGGGACTTTGAGGAGCCTTCAAAAAGATGAGGCATGTACAGAGTAGGTGCACAGACTGCTGATCAGTAAGCACTTGGTTAATATTAACAATAATTATTTGAATCTTTATGCTGGGGGCTCCCCATGGGAGGCAAAAATAAGCTTTGACAGAAACATTATTAAGTTCATCTGATTCCATTTCACTTTCCACATTTTGAATACTATAGACTTGAAAACTATCCATGAAGTTAGGCTGGGGTCAGGTGACTGATGAGTTCTGGCCAGTGGGAGGTGGGCACAAATGACATACACCAATTCCAGGGCTGATCTTTCAGAGGTTCTGACTTGTGCCATCTCCCTCATTTGCACAGCTAGAAATGAAGAGCCCCAAGATGGCAGAAGCACAAGACAGAAGCAGCTCAGATCTCCACGTGCCTGCTTGGAGACAACATGAAAGGAGAACCACCCAACCTGCATTGGATGTGGTAAGAGTAAGAAATCACTGTTTACTAGATTGAGCCCCTGACATTTCAGGGTTTGTTTGTTACTTCAGCATTACATGGCCTGTCCAGACTAATTCACAAATGAAAATTAGTGCAGGGGCCCAGGGAATGGACGGGGAACCAGCTGGTCAAGATACAATGGATATTCCCAGTTGGGTAGAGATGGGCAGTGTAAATTTTTCATCGGGAGGAAAATAATTGTCACAATTTCACAACCAAATTGTTTGCAAATTTCCCACACACTCTCCTATTAGAACCAAAAAGTTGTGCCAGCACAAGGCAGGGCTTGTGACGCAAAACCCTTTGTCTGCACTTTCTGGTCTTCACAGAGCATCACTGCTGTTCCACTTCCATGCCCCAAACTTTGCATGATTCTGTGAATTAGAAACATCCTCTCCATAAATTTCAATAAGATGGCAATGAATTTCTGCAGTGGGCACATAGTCTTATTTAAAATTGCATATGTGTCTCGTCTGGGGACCACCTGTTGAAGGAAGCAGCCTTTGGTACACAAAGTCATAAGTGATCACAGCCAGTCCCTGTTAGAATGTGGCCACACATGTCTAACCAAACACCACACTCCCTGGACCATGGTTGTCCTGTGCCAATGGACCAGAAATTAACTCTGTAAACCTCTGTTTTGAAGACCCCAGGGCCTTTTTATACACTGTACCTTCTACCTGGAATGCTCACCCTTCATACGGCTGGTGTTTCATGGTCAGATCTCTGCTCCAAGGTCACCTCTTCAGAGACACCTCCCCTCACTGCTCTTTCTATAGGCAGGATCCCTCCCTTAATTCCCTGTCTCTGCTCCCTATCCATTTACTTCATGGCACTTATTACTACATGCAATTTGGGGGAAGGGGGTATATTTTACTTGTTTACTGCCCATTTCTCCTACTAGACCTAAGTAACCATGAAACCCGCCCAACATTTAGAATTCCAGATACATGAACTAATAAAGCCCCTGTAGAGTTCAAGCCAGTTTCAGCTGAATTTTCTGATATTATAGCTGATTTTTCCAGCCAAAATCTTCCTAACAAATGTATCTCCTCTCTATAGTATTACTACTGTTGTCATCATGGAGATTATCAGTATATGAGAGCTGTCCGGAAAGTATCCAGCCACTGTTAATATAATGAGAACAGTTTATATAGCTGGACAGCCCTCATAAATTAAAACTTTACTATGTGCCAGGCACTGTGTTAGCTACTTCATTTCATTTAATTTTTACAATAACTCTGATACTTAATGCTATTTTATGGATAAGGAAATTGAGGCCGAAAAGATATAACCAACATGGGTTACTTTTCACGAGCTCTGCATCCCTTTCTTTGGGGGAGCTGAACTCCCACATTCTGTGTGATTCTGAAGGAGCTGTCAATCAAGTATACCACAAGGGCAGTCCCATGATCCAGGCTGGCCAATCAGAGCACTTCTCCACCTGGACTCTGTGATAGGCCAGAAGGAGACACATGACCCAAGCAAAGCCAATCACACAATAGCAAGAACCTAACTCTAGGATCACACACTGAAAGGACCTTGTAACCCTGCTACTGCCAGGAGCTATTCTGCTGCCATGTGCAGAGCCTGCCTAAGAATGAAGCCCTCGTCCAGTGACAGTGAGTGCAATAAAAGGTCAATGACACCCCTCGAACCCTTGGATCTAATTGTGCCTAAGACACAACTACAGGCTTATCAGGTCTGTGAAGCAATACATTCATCTTGGCACTTAACATGGTGTGAGTGGATTCTGCCACTTGCCACTGAATAGGGATGCAGTGGGCATGATGTAGAAGCTCGGTGCTAGTTCTCACTTTTCCTCCTTAAAATGACCACTGCCTGTTAACCCATCAACAGTTGGCAACATGTCGATGTTGCCACTCCAGTCACCCCATTTCCTCACTACCCTTCATATTTCACATATGGTCCAGCCTCTAGGCCAAGAAGGGCCATTCTCTCTACCTGGATGCAGAATTATTCATATGTCTTTCCAAAAAGCCTCCTTAAGCAAACTTTCTCTTAGTCCTTTACTCTACAAATGACTGCCCATTTGCTACTGGTGGCAAGGACTGTAGCAAGAATTAGGAGCCTACAGGCCAGGCAGATTGCCTTTTAATATCCTATTCTAAAAGTCAGTGAATATTGCCCTTTAAGAAAAGGTCTATTGTTTCCCATTCAATTGAGTTTTACACTCAAAGTAACTTCATAGAATTTCTTTCATTCCTTCTTCATCATGCTGTTAAGAGTTGGTTAAGAAAGCAATTACTATACCCATCAGACAGATAAGAAAACTGAGGCCCAAAAAGGTGTAGCAATTTGACTCAATACCAATTATCAAATAAATACTGGAATTGGAATTCTTTCTCCCTCAGCCCAGCTTGAGAGGCACCAACATGCTCTAATTTGGCAGCTTCCAATTTTAAGTATCCATTCCCCAACCCCCTACTGTACCCAACACCTGTTCAATTTGGCCAATTAAGCCCCATCAGATTAGGTTACAAGATAAAACACAGTCTGCCCAGGTAAATTTGAATTTCAGATAAATAATGATTTTTTCTTTTTAGTATAAGCATGACTCAAATATTGCCTGGGACATACTCATACTAAAATATTATCCATTGCTTATCTGAACAATGGATTACTATTGTCTATTCAAATTTAACTGTGCACCCTACAGTTTTATTTGCTAAATGTGACAATGCTACATCATATGTTCTTCCAGTAGATCAGAATAACAGTGTAATTTGTAATTTCTTTGGAAAGTCAGAATTTTCTTGCCTGGATCCTACTATAGTACTACTATTCAATGCAGAGCATGACTCTCTCTGTTTGACAGTAGGGTAGAGTTTGGTGTCCTTTGACGTTATGGCCAGGATCCGGGAACTCTTCAATCTTACCGTAGTTATACATCCTTCTTTCCAAGAGCTTTCTGGAGGGTCTGTTTGCACAAGGAACAGTAGCAAAATGAGACTCAAAATCCTATTTTATTATAGGCAGAGCAGTGGCCTTCCCCATTAGGAAATAATGGCCCATTGATATTAGCTTCCCTTTAATCTGAATCAGGTTGACAGTCTGTCTGCCTCTGGGATAGTGTCGAGGGCCCTGGAGGGGGCCAGACAGCGGAAGCTGGAGTATGGGGAGAGAGTGTGGCTGAGTGTTAGCCTTTCATGAGGTCTCCCGTCCAGACTAAAGGAATGTGGTCTGTAGTCCTTCTGGAAACCAGAACTGAGAACATGTAAATTTGGAAGCTATGGGGTAAACCAAAGTGCATCCCACAACCAGGGAGGCTAGGCTAAGAAGGGAGAAGAAGAAAGCTGGTGTCCAGAGAGGAGCAGAAAACAGGGTACCCAGCCCTCTCGGATTCCGCTTCTCCACGTCTTGGTTCCAGCTGCATCGAAAGTTGCATTTCATCTTCCGAGAACTTTGAATAATTTCCCCTTTGTGTTTAAGCTAGGTTAGGTTGTCTCTGTTACTTACACTCATTCTGTCACTTACTTGACTAAGAAAAACCACCAAATAAAGAAGCAAGGTCTCTGTTCAGTTCATTGCAATTTATTTAATTTAAAAATAAAAACAGAAACAAAAAAACAAAATGAAAACAAAAATCAGTTTCCAATGAAAATACAAACACTTTGGGTGGTTATCCAGCTTTTTTTTTTTCCCTGTAGGCTGTTCTGGGCTCAAACCAATCAAATGAGCGAAAACCAATTTTGACTGGAGCCATAAAGCATGTTGCACCAATTAAATTACACCAATATATTATTATAATACCTTTGAAATGCCTTTCAGACCAATAAATAAAAAAAGACAAATTCAAATAAAAAAGTCAACTTTGTATTACCAAAAACAAAAAATAGAAATTAAATAAAAGTCACAACACGGATTTAAAAAAAAAAAAAATGTGCAGTCAAGTTTCTCTCTCTTTTTTTTTTTTTCTAGGAATGATACCATGCCAGTAAATCCCTACAGAACATTTCCAGTTTGGCAACAAGCAGTCAGTCGATCATTCACATTTGTACTCAAGACAGCAGGCCTGGGCAAAACTTGCCTGAATTTCACCCTGGAAAGTGCCCCCCTATCATCTGAAGAAGCAGCACCTGGTAACAGGGATGGAAATCCAGAGGGTACTTAACCTTTTCATTTCACCTGGGGTCTTGAAGCACTTCCTGAAAACTGATCGTGCCTTGAAATTTACCTGTAAAAAGGAGTATAATTCTACCCCTTCGGCAGATGTGTAAACTAAGACGCAGAAAGGCCCACCGAAGCAAGGAAGAGGACCAGCTGACATCGAATCTCCTGCTCTGTCCACCAGGCCACACAAGTGTTTCCCACTTGTAATTCCATGGAAGCAGATGACTGGGATGATAGGACTTAATTGTGAAGCAGGGGAGCTCCTTTCAGGGCTTTTCCCTCTATTGCAAGTTTTTCCTTGAAAGGACAGTCAACATCACATCTAGAGTCAGAGGATGTCAGCAGAGTGTCAGGACTGAGCAGGGCCTAAGAGACCAGCTAATCCGCCCCTCCATGCTCACTGATGGCTCCCAAAACAAGGCAGGTGCCAAAGGCCTCTGAGACTTAACTCAGTCTCTGCCTCCGCGTGGAGGGCTTCCTCTGCCGCAGTCCACTGTCCAAGTTAATTGACAAAAGAACATCCAAGTGTTCGGGGGCGGGGAGAAGGGAGTAGAATGATTTTCCTTAACAGTATCACGTCTTCCCAACAATTAGAATAATGGAAAATACTAAACAGACTCAGTCACTGGCAAAAGGAAAGAACACATCAACCAGTAGGCAGGTGTTGGGCCTAAGTCAGACTGACAGCTACTGACGTGGCCAGCTGCCACACATGAGGGGCCAGCAGCGTGGCAGCACAGGCCGTTCGGGAAAGATTGCATAAAATGAGGCAGGGAGTAGGGGAGCCCGGAGTCTGCAGGCTTCCCTCCATGCACCCACGCCCCTTACACACAGTTTGCTATCTACAGATTTTATTTTATTTTTTTTCCCTTTTAACCTCTAGTGGAGTTCAGGAAGGAGGTGGAATTGAATGAAAGGAAGCTGGGCAGCTTCCCATAATACACTGCTCAGCATAACCTGAAGGAATGCACAAGCCAGAACACCAGCGCCGGTATCAGGGGCAGAAACGGAACTGTCTCCTTAAGGAAAGGGCAATGTCGTTCAATTAACATTCTTAGTGCTGCAAGCTGAATCCTTTCTCATCTCCCCATAAAATACTGTTGGTTGGTTTCTCCAAAGATATCACCGAGACCCTTCCTCCTATCTATCTGTGTGGCTCTCAGAGGTTGCCACTTTGAAATAAGCATTTCAATGTGCCTAGGTCATTGGAATCTGAACCATCCCAACAAGACCAGTGATTCCAAGCCTAGTCTCCTGAAGATGTCCCACTGCGGGGGTGACATCTTGTCACTTATAATCTGGGTGTTTACAAATTACATACCTAGTATTTTTACTTAAGATAAGAGTCCTGCCACACCTATTTTCCGCCTCCTTCAGAACCATCTGGATGACTTCTAAGGAAATGTTCCCTCTCCCATATGCTTCATTCCCAACCCACACTACTCTTTCCACACCTTATTCATTTAAATCAATGGGACTTTCCTTTTCCCCCAAGCCCAGGAGTTCAAGTCAAAGTTCAAAACTGTGAGTGACAGAGAATCCTGGATTAGGGGAGGGGGGGAGCACCTTCTCTTTGACTTTCCTTTCCTCATCCTAATATCCCACCTACACACTAACTCCCTAGAAGCAAACCTGTCCACCTTTGAGGATTCTACACTAGGTGGACAGGGAAACCATCTGCTATTAGTGAACAGGGCCAGTGGTTGAGCTAGGTAATCCTTTGGAGACTGTGGACAGCGTCACATCCAATCCAAAGCAATTTATGCAAGTGAGAACCCAAAAGGGAGCATTCCAGTTAATATTGAGACACTAAAGACATCAACTTCCATTCATCTGTGCAAAGACCACGGAGGGTCTCATGCTCTATCATACACAATAGTTTTGACCTCTGACACCATCATAGCTTCCCCGTCCACCCTGGAGAGGTTATGATAAAGAGCAAGGCAGTCATCAGGAAAGAGGAGACAAACAGCAAGGAGCTGAAAAATCACCATGGCTGGCTCTATGTCCTTAGCAAATTTCAGAGTATTCTCTCTCTGACCAATGCCCTGTCTTCCATTCAAGGTGGAGTAACAAATCAACAAATGCCTCACTAGTGGCATGAAAGAGTTAACACAGATCCCACAGGATGCTTTAACCTATTTCCCAAGGCTAGGTCAAGGATGACAAGTACATGGCATTAGTGCTACTGCCTCCCTTCCCATTCCCATGGCAGCCATTGCTAGTCGATCACAGCACTCCTTCCTGCTATGCCTGGGCTACTCAGACCAGCACAGCTGGCAGCCACTATCAATCGATCATGGATTCAAGCTCAGGTTGCTGAAATCTCCTTGTCAGCCCATGCAGTCAGACCAACCTTGTGAACATGAGGAGAAAAGGAGCAAGCTCTCTGGGCAAACCCAAAGCAGATGGCCCCAGTCTCTCCTGCCCCTCTTCCAGAAGCATCTGGAGGATGTCTAGGGAAATGCTCTCTCCCCATACGCTGCCTCACCACCAAGTGCTGGTCAACACCACCTTCCCTGGACAGCTGGTCCTCTAGGAGGTGCCATAAGGCAAATGCCATTTAGGATCCAAATTCTGCCTGGCAGTGGGTTGCTCTAGCAGAGAGCCCACTTCTCCCTTTTGGGCGCAGGCTCAAGGCTGCAAGCGAGATGGTGCCAATCCTTTTTCAGTCTGTTATCACGGCCAACAAAGAGGTCGCTGGCCCGTGAGCCCCAGTCTTGCCCCCCGTCCTCCCTCGTACCCCCGCTGCCCCGCGCCCTGGCACGCTAGTTGAGCTTGCTGCAGATCTCCAGCGCCTGCTTGTAGACCTGAGTCACGTCGTCCATGTCCGTGAGGAGGGAGAAGCTGCTGTCTGCCAGCCGGTTCCGGTACCGCTTCAGGTACTGGGGCCGGGGCCGGTTCTGGAGCCCCTCAAAGTCCTGGATCTGGAGGAAGTTCTCCGCGGAGACGCAGCTGCGGATGCGCTGGCGGGCAGGACGGTTCTCCTGCATGTCCAGCAAGTCGAAAGAGTCGCTGGACAGGACGCTGTCGTCGCTGATGACGCTGGAAGGACGGCTGTAGCTCCGGGAGAGGCCCTCGGCGGGGACGCCGGGCTCCGACAAGGATTCCAGTGTGGGCACGTCGGGGCTGGCGAGGGCCGGGTCCGTGGCGCCCACCGAGTACTTGCTGCTGTGCTTCAGGATGCCCTTCCGCCGGCAGGAGAGGCTGTGGGCCGCCGCGCGCGCCGGGGCCGGGGGGCTGGGAGAAGGCAGGCCGCTGCCCACCACGCCGTCGCCGTCCAGCAGCTCCGAGGACTCGCTGCGCTCCGGGGACGAGTAGTAACCCGATTCTCTCTGCTGGGTCTTTTTCAAGATGCCCTTCTTGGGCATCGTGGCCGACTGTTTGGGGCTGAGTTTCCCCGGCGCCTCTGCCTCGGGGGAGCTGGCGAGGGGAACGCCCGCCCGGCACAAGTCCTGCTCCAGCTTGAAAGCAGAGGGCAGGGCGGGCCCCACGACGCCTTCGATGAAGCCGGTGCTGTGAGAGCGATGCTCGCTGTTGCTCCGCTTCTTCAGGATGCCCTTGGGCCTCTTGGAGCTCACCTTGGATGGGCTTTCGGGCACCGAGTCCTGGCCAGGCTGGGCAAAGTCGTTCTCCTTCTTGGACTTCTTCAGCGACCGCTGCCGCTCCAGCATGACCTCAGAGGCCCCGGGTTTGGCCAGGCCCTTCATTTTGGCTTCAGCCTCAGCCTGCAGCCCCGTGGAACGGTGGTGCCAGTCGATGATCCGGGCCAGGAGCGGGGACTCGGAGTCGTGCAGGGCGTCGCAGTCGCAGACGCTGCTCTTGTAGCCCCAGTTCACCCACCAGTGGTTGGCAATGTCCTCGACGGTGGCCCGGCGGTCGGGGTTCACCATCAGCATCCACCGAATGAGTCCTCGAGCATCTGGGGGACGAGAGACAAAAGGAATCAGGCACTCGTTCTGCGGGGGCTTTCGGCTTTGTGACGGGGTGACCCTGCAGACGCGGCCAAAGGAACACACTCACTTCAGGAAAAATGCATTTGGAGCCCTGGTCCGGCCACACTAAGCAGCAGGAAGCCAATGCCTGTCAGAGCGTGCACTCAGGACTTGGAACCACAGGCCCGTGCACCACCTCCTCCTGGCATGTTTTCCCACGGAGTGGAGGAACGTCATGGAGCTACTGAGCTGTCTATCATCTCAGATCTTTACTCAATGTGGGAGGCCTGGTCACCAAGAAAGAACCCAGACCCAGCTCCAAGCAGGGTCACACCAGTTCCTTTGGTGGATACCATTTTACCAAAAGGGAAAACAGGTGTAGATCACCATGGCTCTCTTTGTTCCTCCAAAGGTAGGCTTGTACGAACACGCAGTGCTTGAGGTCCCTGGGAAAGCGTGTCTGAAGACAGAGGATGAAGTGGAGGCACTTACCTGGCACACCTGGGCAGTGAGAGCGGCTTTCTCCAAAGCCGGCCTCACGCCAAGGTCCCTGCCAGGCTCTGGGACCCACACCCAGTGAGCTCACCTCCTCTCCTCTCTGACATAGGCTGGATCTTACTGAGCTGTCAGATCAGAGAGCTGATCTCTATCTGCCATGTCTTCACAGCCTGTCTGAAAAAACCCACTTGCAAATCTCTGCTTCCTGAGAATTAGGGAAAAGCCTTGAGGAGACCAGAGGAACCGAGAGACTGACTTTCGCAGCTTAAAAACTGACTTTTAGGATCAAATTGTTCTTTCCCAAATTGGGGTGAATTATATCCTAGGAAGCTGCCCCTCTGCTCAGCTACTTATGTAGGCTAATGAGTAGCTGGCAAAGGCCTGGCAACGGGGAATGGGGTGAGCTACACCCCTGGAAAGTAACAAGATGATCATTTGGTCACTCAATAAATATTTCTTGAACCCCTACAATGTGTCAGAAATTGCATTGGCACCAGCTAGATGGCAAGGCAATAAGACCAATATAGAGGTCACCCGAAAATTTCCCAAAAAGAATATGCTGGCTTATTGAAAATATATATATAGATAGATGCACATCTATCTATATATATACACATATACAACAGTTATCCTCATCCACAGATTCTATATTTGCAAATTTGCCTACTCATTAAAATTTATTTGTAACCCCAAAATCAATACTCTCAGCTCTTTTGCAGTCATTTTCGTCCATGCACAGAGCAGCAAAAACTTTGAGTCACCCCAACACGCACATGTATTCACAGCTGAGGTCAAACAAAGCAACACTCTGCCTTCTTGCTCTCATACGATTATCAAATGTCCTTTTCTCAGTCTATTTAGTGCCATGTTTTTCACATTTTTGGACTTTTTTTTGATGATTCTACTATTTAAATTGGTCTCCCCAAAGCGTGCTGAAGTACTGTCTCGTGTTCCTAAACACAGGAGGGCTGTGACATGCCTTATGGAGAAGACGTGTGTGTCACATCTAGCTTTGCTCAGGCATGAGCTACAGCGCTGTTGGCCAATGAGTTTGATGGTAATGGATCAACAATACATATTACATAAGGTGTCTTTAAACAGAAACATACATAAAACAACGTTATATATTGATCAGTTGACAAAAATATTGCAACCAGAGGCTCTCAGGAACGTAACCCTGTGTTTTCCCTAGAAGAAACGGTTCAGTATTCACTAACTCAGTATTTGCAGCAACTTTATAGAACAAAAACTACAGCAAATAATTAGAATCAACTGTGTATATATGTATATACACATATAGATAATATGTATATAAATGAAGTACCTGTGTTAACTTCATTTGTTAACAAAAATGACCAAAGATGGCCACCTGTCCACACTCTCTGTCCAGGATAATACTCCTGGACATCAAGAGATGGAGCTTGTGACCTTGGTTGCTTTGGCCAGCAGAATATGGCACAAGTGACAATATCTATCTTGCAAGCACAGACACATAAAGAAAGCCTAGTGGCTTCTTCTCCTCCTTAGAGCCCTGAGCTGCCATGGAAGAAGTCCAGCCTCTGTCCTGGAAACAGAAGTTGCGGGAAGCACCTCAAAGAGGGCGTGCCCACACAGAATAGCCCCAAGGTGTCCCACATTCAGCCCTCACAGTGGCCTTGGTGGTATCTGATTGCAACTTTAACTGTAGGAGGAATTTCAAAGAAGGCCATAAAAGCCTTTCCCAACCCACAGAATCCAGAGATAAGATTACATGGCTGTTTAAAACACTTGAGTTTGTTTGGGGGAATGGGATAGAGCTGTTACACAGCAGTGGGTAATAAAACAGAGGCTGGGAGCCATACCCCAGGTCAGGGGACAGAGCAGCAAAAGATGGAGCAGTCGCCACCCCCTAGGCACCTGCGGTCCAGGGACGGTGGTTTATATGTCTACATGGACTGGAAAGAACTCCATATAATACCTTCCCCAATATTTTAATTTATGGTGGAGAAACTAAATCCAAAGAGATTAAGTGGCATGCCCAGGTTCACGTGGCAAGCAAACTGGACTCCTAGAACACGTCCTCTGAAAACTCCATTTGAGAAGTTTTGAGTAAAGAGGCCTAGCAAGCCAGCTTTGCCAAGGATGACTTTTCTGGCAAGCACAAAGCATTTGAAAACCAGAAGATTCCTTACAGACATATTAAAACGAAAGCAGAAAGTGTAAGTGGTGTAAGCTGATTACTCTCCCCTCAACCTCTGACCCTCCGCAGGGCACGCACCTGAGGGCTGCGTGGGCTCCCGGTACTCTCCGCTGCTGATCTGCCGGATGAGGTTTTTGTGATCGAAACCATCGAAGGGCATCGTTCCATAAACGAGAGTGTAAAGCAACACGCCCAGGGCCCAGCTGTCCACCTGGAGCAGAGAGACAGGACACATAGGAGCCGGTAGGCAGATGCCCCGGATGCCTTCCAAACCAGCTGCATCCCAGCCTGCGAGCAGCCGCCCTCGAAGCCCCCCAGGAACTGAATGCAGCACCTGGTAGACAGGTTGCCACCAAAGACTGACAACTGATAGCCACGCAGCTGGGGCCTGCTACTGAGACTGGCCTTTCCATTTTGAACAGAGGCCAGAAATCCCAGCCTATTAAAGAACTTTCTTAAACAGACTGTCTTCTTGGATCCTCACTATAATTTTTGTGAAGCAGCTAGGGCCTGGATGATTTCCAGACCCATTTGGCAGATGAGAAAACTGAGGCTCAAGGAAGCTAAATGGTTTCTCCAGAGGCCCTGCCCCAGCAATGGAGGTAAAACTGGGATACAGGGATCTTCATTCCCAATCCAGAAATCAATGCCCTCTTGCACTTTCTTCAAATGGATCAGGGGTTGCAAACTCAAATCTTACAAGAGCCAGGCAAACAACAGACATAAATAAGGCAAGAAAGAAATTGGGGTCCAACATGGAGTGCTGTGGATGGAGACAAGCTGTGGAGTGCACTCAGCCGTCTTAGGCACCAACCTCTCCTTGGCTAACTCCTGCCATGCGGTAATGTAGATGAGCACTGCTAGATCCTTTGGGTCTCTAAGACTTCTATGTGAAATCTCCCAATCATTAAATGTTTGTTCAAATTTTTTTTTATATAAAGACTAATTTGGCCAAATAAAGCAAGTTTGCTGGCCAGATCACAGGCTGCCAGCTTGGAACCTCAGAAACAGGCCATCAAAGATCAAAGAAGCATTCATTGTCTATAAGAAATGAATAGTGTCGAGTTTCTCCAATTTTTTAAATCGAGTCCTATGCTCCTCCCTTTTATTCTTATTTTTAAAAAACTTTCTCCTCATTGTAATTGACACAGAGTCTTGGCATCCTTCTCTGCATCCTCCAGCCCTGCCCCCAAGCACTCTCAAACAGATAAATATTTGGAAGAAAACATTTCAACACACTGAGCAGCTGCTATTTATGGATACTGAGTGGACGACTCTCTCTGTAAAGACAACCATTTTTTTTTAAAGAGAATAATTAATTGCTCACCACTTACTCATTTTCAAAAGAACATTTTCATATGCATATCTTAACAGTGGCCCTGAAAGCTTTAGGCATGTAGAGAAATACATTTCTCATAAATTAGAAGATAAAATTAAAATGTATTTCCTTAGTCACATATACATATACTGTCAAAAAATACATGCAAAAAAGATATTCACTACAGTATCAAGGTTTTTGTTTGTCTGTTTTGATATAATAGGGGAAAACTGAATGTCTAAATCTAGGGACATTATTGCATAAATTATGGCATATTCATCAATAAAACTTTGTCATCAAAGATGTTTTTACTATTAATAAAAAATTTGGAAAATGTCACCATATAGTTTTTTTTTTTTTTTTTTTTTTTTTGCGACAGAGTCTCGCTTTGTTGCCCAGGCTAGAGTGAGTGCCGTGGCGTCAGCCTAGCTCACAGCAACCTCAAACTCCTGGGCTCGAGTGATCGATCCTTCTGCCTCAGCCTCCCGGGTAGCTGGGACTACAGGCATGCGCCACCATGCCCGGCTAATTTTTTATATATATATCAGTTGGCCAATTAATTTCTTTCTATTTATAGTAGAGACGGGGTCTCGCTCTTGCTCAGGCTGGTTTTGAACTCCTGACCTTGAGCAATCCGCCCGCCTCGGCCTCCCAAGAGCTAGGATTACAGGCGTGAGCCACAGCGCCCGGCCACCATATAGTTTTAAGTTAATAAAAGATATACATGTGTATGTGACACATATATATGTATGTACATCTTGCCTTTTATTAACTTATCTCAATTACTTTTGAGTTGATCTCAATTATTTTTGAAATGCAGAGATCTACACTGGAAAAAAGTCTAAAAGAAAAGTTACAAAAATATTAAATGGCTGTCTCTTGTGGGAGGATTCCAGGTAACTTTATTTTCTCCTTTAGGCTTTTCTGGATTTTTTCCAAATTTATATATTATTGCTTTTCTATCACATAAGGAAAAGTTTTCTTTGCTTGCTTTTCTGGGTTTTGATTTTTAAGCATTTCCCAGATGCAGTTTTTGCCTTCCCTCCCTCTTTTCCGCCCCACTCCTCCCTCCTCCATACACACCAGGCAACCTGCTCACCTCTGGCCCGCGGTAAGGTCTCCCATTGACGATCTCAGGAGATGCATAGAGTGGGCTCCCGCAAAACGTCTGCAAGAACTTGTCCTTCTGGTACAGGTTGGACAGCCCAAAGTCGGCAATCTACAACGAGAAGCAAGACCCAGGGAGACCTGTGAGCACTCCAGACTGCGTCTGCCATGGATCGGTTCACGCCACGCATTGTGCAAAATAGAAATGGACTTTCTATTTTAACCTCAATTTAGACTTGTCCTGAGAAATAACATTCACAAAATTACCCACTTGATGTTTCTGATGAACATTAAAGTACCCAACAATTAACTCAGAAATTGTCCCTCTGTGGCCTGGCCACAATCACACTGCACCCACGGAGCTGTGCAGCTGGTACCACCCCTCTTCTATCCACTCACACTCTGATCAGAACAGCGTTGTGCCTGCCTGGTGACCCGAGATGAAAGGGACACAGAGCACTGGGTTTTTGAGTCATCATATTTCAGCCCCAACTCTGCCCCTAGCCATCTGTGTGACACTGAGCAGGTCCCTCAGCAACTTTGAGCCTAAGTTTACCCACCAGAAAATGGGAATCCATGATCCTTCCCCTGTTTTAGCTTACAGGATCATCGTGAGAATACTATGCAAAAAAAAGTCAATCAAGGTGAGATCATGAGTGCAAAGGTGCTTCAAGTTTCATGCAAATGTTTTTACCTAACTTTGCTTCTTTCATTGTATTGCACAACCCTTGGGATCATTCTCTCCTGCTTTGGTTTCTTGAAGTGTTTTATTTAGAATCCTTTACGGCAGCACTTTTACATATATGTGTATATGTATATGTACACATATATGATATATATATTTGCCTTCCCTGCCACACTCTGAGTCTCCTGAGGCAGTTGGCAGATTCCACATCTTCCCCTTATCTTTGTATCTTTGGATACCCACTACTTAGCACCTGCCCACACCTGTCACTAGAAACACTTGTCACTAGACCAGGCATTATATTTTGTTTTGGGGGGTTTTTTGTTGGGTTTTTGTTTGTTTGTTTTGGGGGGGAGGACAGTCTCACTCTGTCACCCTGGATAGACTGCAGTGGTGTCATCTCAGCTCACTGCAACCTCAAACTCCTAAGCTTACATGACCCTCCTGCCTCAGCCTCCCGAGTAGCTGGGAGTACTGGCGATGCCACCACGCCTGGCTAATTTTTCTATTTTTAGTAGAGATGGTGTCTTGCTCTTGCTCAGACTGGTCTTGAACTCCTGAGCTCAAGAAATCCACCATCTTAGCTTCCCAGAGTGCTAGGATTACAGGCATGAGACACTACACACAGCCTAAGGCATAATATTTTGAAAAGCACAAGATAATGCAAAATAATAATAATAATAATAATAATAAACGTAGTTACCACTTATTGAACAACTTCTAACTATCAGGTACTATTCTAAACACTTTACATTCTCTAACCCTATCAAAAACCTCATCTATACGACACTGTAAATGTACTTTATGCCACCAAATTACATATCTAAAAATGGTCAATTTTATGTTATGGATATTATACCACAATTTAAAAATATATATATGCCATTTAACAAATGAGGAAACTGAGGTTTAGTGAGATGAGGTTACTCATCTATGGAGATGTAACTAGTTAGGAATGTAAACCCCTGTGTCTCTAAAGCTTCGAGCCACCACGCCACACTGCCCCTGGGCCACCTGCACATTTCACTCCAGTCTGAGCCGGCCTCGCAAGCTGAGCCCCTGTAGGTGCCTGCCCTTCCCCAGGCCGATTCCCATTTGAAGCTTATAAATAGGCCGGACGATTCGCATGCCCAGAGATCAGCCCAGCCTGAACGCCGCCGCGGAGGCTCTGTTTTGAATGCAGCCCCTAGAATAAGCCTATTTTGTGAGTCGTCCCTGAATGAATGGAATGTCATTGAAAGCAGCTGGCGTACAACCGCCCTCAGAAAACGCGTTCTCGGGGCTCGGATTGTACTTAATTGCCCTGAATTCCACTTTCTTACCAAGGCCCCTGACTGGCTCGCAGGAAGTTGGTTGGAAGCTTTATGAAGTGTTCCCCTTCGGTCAGGAGAGGCATGGAATGGAATGGCTGCACACAGGAAAACGCATTCCCTTCCTGGCCCCGGAGCATTTGCGGGGACTGGGGCCCCACAGGAGCTTCCAAATATGCGTGTGCGTGAGAGGCATCCGCCGTGCATGGACACACTCACACTGGGAGCTCCCACTCCGAGTCGAGGCCGTCCTGCCTGCTCTGCAGCCGCTCTGCAGAAGTGTGTTTATGCTATGGCCCACTCCCAGCCTCACAGACTGATGCTTATCAGCCTCTCCCAGTAAAACTGTCACTGCCGCTGACACAAGATTAATCGAAATCTAGATTAGCCCATGTTCTTGGCACTTTAACGGAAAAGCAGTATTAATCAACACATACTCACACACGCACTCAAACCTTGAGCTACTCAAACTTGGGCTTCGATCTAAGATTTAATGCCACATGGAGCCTCTATCAGCTATTGATAAGAGGGGAAATGGCCACTGGTTCTGAAAACTCCCAGAAACCTCAGTTTCCTCATCTGTAAAATGAGGGTAGGAAGAGTATCTACACCCACAGTGTCATGGTGGAGACGAAGTGACATAAAGCGTGTAAAATGCGTACAACATCAATGGCACAGAGCTGGAACTCAGTAAATATTTGCCTCCCACCTTTAAATCCAGAGTTAATTAACTTCATGATACTGGAAACAGAGTTGATCCCAGCACCAGGGACTCTCAATAGTGAAGAAACAGAGAAGTTTTAGATGCCAAACAATAACAGAATTAGATAACTTTGAAACACAAAATGAAAAATTCATTCCTTTCTGGATTCTCTTTTAATCCGATTAAGTCTGGGAAAAGGTCTCAGTTGGGCACTGTTGTGTCTTTAGCATCTCCGTATTATCAAAGAGATAATATGATAAATATGTGGCAATAACTAAGATCAGCTTGTGGCGATAACCAAGATTAAGCTACAATTTAATAACACTATTTGGTTTCTATTATATTTATCTTTGACTTTATCTCCTAGTCATGGTAAGTGATACTGGTTTTCCATTTAAGGTAATTGTTTAGGGCTTCCTTTTCAAACAGTTATCACTCTAAACAGTGGCTTGAACTAAATAAAAATATTAATAAGTAAAATAGCAAAGATACGAGGGAAAGGCAAAATCCATGAAGAGAATGAAAGAAAACCTGAAATTTGGGAAATATTGATTTTAAACATCCTAAAACAAAAACAATCACATCCCAGAATTGATCTGAAAGAGCCCTAAGAGATGCCAATCCTTCCCCTTGCTCTACGAGTGAAGAGCTGAAGGTTCAAAGATGTCCGAAGCTTTGCTGAAGGTCACAGGGAAGAGCGACAAGTACATACAGGAGTATGTGGGTCCACCTGAGCCTCACGATCTCTCTGTAACAGAGCACCAGCTGTATACAAAGGCTGACTCTCCAGCAAGGAGCCGGCCGGGCTTTGTTTTCAAAGTGGCATTTTGCAGACCCACAGGTCAGCTTTGGAGGAAGGGGCGGGGTTGGCATTTTTGCTGGTTGTTCTGATGGTCCCCTGCCCGGTACTGGTTCCAAACCACCCTCTGTCCCAGCTCAGCCTTGAAAGTAAAAACGAACTCAAGGCTCATGTCCTTACTATTTGGGGTTTTGGTTGTCATCGAGCCTTTCTAGAAGTGCCCTGCCCTGCTGGACGAAAATCAGAGTTAGAACCCTAAACGAGGAAGTGATTATTCACATCTCAAAAGGATTAACCTCGTTACAACACGGATGAACCCTGAAGACGTTATGCTAAGTGAAATAAGCCAGACACAAAAGGACACATATTGTATGATTCCACGTACGTGAGATCCCTGGAGTAGTCAACGTCACCGAGACAGAAAATAGAATGGTGGCTGCCAGTGGCTGGGGGTGGGGGAGGGGAACGGCGAGTTACTGCTCAATGGGTACCGAGTTTCAGCAAGGGAAGAGAAAAACATTCCGGAGATGGTTAGTGGTGATGGTTGCACAATAATGTGAATATGTTTAACGCCACTAACCTATACACCTAAGACGGGTAAGTTTTATGTTTCATATATTTTACCGCCATAGAGAAAAGGGTTAACCTCAGATCACTGTTAATAATGAGCTCACCTAGTGAAAAATGGACTGTCGGCTTGCTGATATTAACCGCTAGGAAAGGATGCTGATGACAACGATAATAACCAGCGACAGTGTGACAGTCATCTGCAGTATCTATGAGGAAGTGTGCTGCACTCCGCAGATGACAGGTTTTGTAGCCAGGAGGACTTGGGGCTAACCTTGGCCTTCTTAGGTGATGGGTGGGAATTGCCAAGTCACTCGCTTTCCTCATCTGCAAACTGGGACCTGGACTATAACCCACCTCGACACACTCGTGAAGCTCCTGGAGCAGTCCTGGTACCAACTGACTCTATATAAATTACAGACCTTAGGATAAGGCTGAGGGTTTGGCTGACTAGACCACTGTTTGCCAGGCAAGGCAAACTTAGAACTGGAAGCACTAACTAAGAGCATCACCTGGGAGCATCTCCTATGGCTCGTTTATAAACTGGGCATGTCCAGCAGAAGAGGGCTCATCAAATGATGGAAAGAGCACGGGTTTCAGGGTTTGAGTCCTTGAGTTCAAATCCCCACTTCACCTCTCACCAGCACCTGACCTGAGGCACTTTGGTTCATTCCTCCGCAGGAACCAGCAGAACAGCATCGCCTGGGAGAGTCCAGACACTGAGCCTCTCAGGCCCCACCAAGGCCTGCCGAACGGGGATCTGCATGCTCACAAGAGCCCCGGGGACTCACGTGAACCTTAGCCATTCGGGGCCTCCATTTCTTCCTCTGTAGAATGGGGTCGGTGAGGATAATGCAACCTCCCTGGGAGGGCCCGTAAGCAACCAGATGGATGGATGCAAGAGAAGTGCTCACCCCATGCCTGGCACATCGCAGGCCCTCAGCAAATGTCAGCCATGACTACTTGGACCTCTCGGAGTCGCAGTTCCCCTTGTTGGAAACCGGAACTGCAACGGCACCAACCACACGGTGTGAAAACCAAAGTCAGA